ACTACGAGCGCAACGACACGGCGGCAAAGACCCGCACGACGACGCTGAACGAAGAGCTGGGACAGATCGAGTACATATTCTGTGACAAGACAGGAACCCTCACACAGGTCTGTCTATCGCTGCGATTACGAGTTGCTGGTGGTGGGAGGGTGGGTGGTGGGTGGGTAGGTGGTTGGTAGGGTTGAGATGGTGGTAGGTGGTGTGTGTAGATGGGCGGAGGTCATCACCGTGTACGTGGAACAGGTTGTCGATATAGTGGAGAAATGTAGCAGGTGGATGGTGGCAGATTGTGGTAGTAGCAGTAGGTGGATGGATGACTGGATGTACGTAGTGGCCAGGTCGGACAGCGGTAGGTGGGTATAGTAGTGTCTGGTGGGCATTGGCGGGTGTTGGCTGGCCAGAGTGAGTTGATGGGTGGGGTAGGTCAGACCAGTGGTTGATGGGTTGTAGTGTCTAGGCAGGCTTTGGCCGGTGTTGGTTGGTTGTAGTGGATTCCGTGGTTAGGGTAGCTCGGACTAGCGGTGGGTTGTTGCAGGTGGTGCGTTAATTGGTGGCTGCATGCGCGCGCGTGTATACGTGCGGTAACGTCGAACCCCCGTCCGACGTGCGATTGCTTTTAGTCTAGAGCATCTAATTTATGCGTGCCAATTACGTCTGACGGCAGCAGGTGACGCGCCAAACCTTTGCTGCAATTTGTGCGCGTTGCTGTCGAATGCGCCTCGTACAAACTGCCGCCATTAAATATTCAACGCAGTGGTGTGCGCTGTAGACAAATCATGCTCGCAATTAACATTACCGTGAGCGTGCACGCGCGCGTTCTCCGATGCAAATTAGCGGCGGTAGGATTTCCCGATCGGTATTCGAATTCGACGCAGCGCACGTGTGATATTTTCCGGGCGATCGGGAAATATCTGATATATTTTTACGTGATTATATAATGTATTTTTTTGTGTTGGTTCGTTCGTTTCTAGAACATCATGACGTTCAACAAGTGTTCAGTGGGAGGCAAGTCGTACGGAGACTTATTGGACAGCCGTGGGGAACCGCTGGAGATAAAAGAGGTATAAGCAGCAGAGTTGCACTGTTGGTACGCGTCAGAGTGCGTACTTGTATGTTTATGTTATGCTTCGTATTTTTCATTATGTTACACTGTATGATCCAATTATGTTTATTTAGTTTATTTATTTTGTAGACATTATTCAATTTATTTATTTATTTATTTATTTATTTATTTACGATGACATTTCTTCGGCGTGCTCGTAACCGGCGGCGCGTCATTTACTCGTGCGCGGCGGTGTTACGTAATTACGTAATTCTCTTGCTGGGATTTAATTGCCCCGTGAAATATCACTCGATAACTGCATGCGCTCGCTGATTACCGGCAGTCTCCACTGTATAGATAATAGTGTCGCAGCATTTTATATATATATATGCTCAACTCTCTCTACCCGATACACTCTCACACTCTGCATGTACATAATACACGTAATATAATATATATATATAGAGTATATATCTATCTATATAATATAGAAAAGGGGGAAGGAGGAAGGAAGAGAGCGAGAGAGAGAGTGAGGGTGTGCGCGCGCGCGTGTGTGTGTGAGAGTGAGAGAGAGG